CATAAATTAACCAATGAGAATTCTGCTTTGTTATGGCACAAGCGATAAGGTCACATCTCTCAAAAGAGAATGGAAAGATTTGTGTCAGAAAGAATTCTTGATTCCATTGATACTTTCAGACTTAAGTAAATTATATTAAGGGAAAACAAACAAACATAAGGAGATTAGGTACCAATAGGACTTCAGACGTCTTAAAACTAATTTATACAGATATCTGTGGATCATTCCCTCCGGATTCTTGGAATGGTCAATAGTCATTTATTACGTTCATAGATGATTTTTTCTCAATGTGGCTACTACCTATATTTCATCTATGAGAAATCCCAAACACTGGACACGTTCAAGGCATACAAGACCGAGTTTGAAAATTAACTCAGTAAAATAATTTAACAAGTCAGATCTTACCATAGTGGTGAATACTATGACAGATATGACGAATCAGGAGAACAATGTCCAGAGCCTTTCGCAATATTCCTAGAGGAATGTGGAATCCACCTACAGTACATCAGGATCTTTCTAGGTGTAAGTACTAAAGACTGCAGCTTAAATTCTCAGCCAAGTTACAAGTAAAGCAATTGTTAAAGGGTTACAAATTTTAAAGGTCCACTATTAGGTTATTTTTCGAAACGGAAAATGTTCGATTTCTTGAGGATGTAGAGTTTGCAAGGGGAGATAAGTTTATAAAGTTAATGATTTTGTCTTGAATGAAGAATATGTATATATTTCTTCTGTTGTAATTGACAATGATTAGGTTCAAGGACAAATTCTTGCTCCTGATTTTGTTCAAGAAACAATTTCGGATCAAGACTACATTACAAAATCCCATATACACAATCAAGAGATTGTTCCAGAAAAATAAATTCAACAATCTCAATAACAAATGTTATTAAGGAAATCCACTATATAAGGGAGAAAGACAATTTTGGATGACTTTATAGTCTTTCTCCAAGAAAATAAGGATGACATGGATTGGTGAAAGAAGAACTGATCTATCAACTTTCATTAAGTCATGCAAAGGAATAATTCTAAAGAGTGGATGGATGTCATGCATAAAAAAATAAAGTTCAGAAGTAACCATGACGTCTAGGAACTCATCATATTGCCTGAATGTACGAAACTCATTGGCTGTAATTTGATATTTAAAATCAAGGGGGATTCGAAGGGTAATGTGGAGAGTTATAATGCTCGTCTTGTTGCAAATGACTTTACTAAAAAGGAAGACATTGTCATTAAAGAGATTTTTTCTCCGATTTCTATGATAGACTTCTTGAGGACAATTATAGCATTTGTGACACATTTTGATCTTAAGTTATATCAGATGGTTTACAAATTAAAGTAATCCATCTATGGGCTTAAGCTGGTTTCTCGAAATGGTATCACAAATTTTATCAAATAATTATCTCATTTGGTTTTGAGATGAATTCAGTTGATGATTGTGGATATCACAAGTTCAGTGGGAGTAAGCATATTTTTGGTATTGTATGTCGATGATATACTACTTGTCTGCAATGATATAANTTGTGGACATCACAAATTCAGTGGGAGTAAGCATATTTTTTGGTATTGTATGTCGATGACATACTTCTAGTCTGCAATGATATAAACTTATTGAGCGAAACCAAGAATATTAAGTGATACTTCTACAATTAAGGGAGACAACTTATCATAGCTGGACAGAGTTGTATCACTTATTGTCTCACTTAAGGGAGACAATTTTAGTATCAATTAATGCCCCAAGAATAGAGAAAATGAAATACAGGAAATTCCCTATACGTCAGTAGTTAGGAATTTAATGTATGCTTAAATTTACACACATCCGGATATAGCATTCACTGTTGGAATGCTAGACAGATATTTAATAAACTCTAGGATGGAAATTTGGAAAGCAGCCATTAGGTTATTCGGTATCTATAGAGAACTAAGGATTACATGAACACATTCAAGAAAATCAGATCAATTGGAGATCATTGGATATTCTGATTCTGATCATGGAATATGACTGCAAAATATTGTCATTAGGCTACATATTTTGGATGGAATTGAAAGACCACATAAGTTATCTTGAGACAATAGCAGTCTTGTATTCCAATAGGAACATGCCGATGTCAAAGTTTAAATACATTATGTTCCTAGTTGTCAAGGAAAGAAATCAGAGTGGTTAGATTTCTATAAAGCATATTAGGACAAACTCCATAATCGTGGATCCATTTGCTAAATCGCTACCACCCAATGTCTTTCATGAGCATAATACTCATTTGAGTGTTGTATCTTTTGATGATATGCCAGTTTAGTGAGAGTTTGTATTTGAATGTTGTCTATTTTAGAAGCATTTTTATCCATGGATATTCAATTTATTTTAGAAATAATGTATTCAGTTTAGTTCCACTTTGATTTAAGTTTATGGTTAATCTCACTTAAGAAACAAGGTTGGACCAGTTGGAAATAGACATGTTTGGATCACATAACATGTAATTTCCATGTTACACTCCCATGATTGATCTATGTCATTTGGTTGTATGTGTGTACGTGACCATCGATGGATTTAGTTACGTTAAATGTGACGAAAATCGCTTTAATTATATACCAATATGACTAATGGACGAGATTGTTTGGTAATACCCATAATAATGATTGCAAAATTTTGAGCTCATAAGGTTGTGTACATTTGTGAAGTTACATGTATGGCCCAGTGGGAGATTGTTAAAAAATTTCGACATATGGGGCCACACATGTAATATATTAAAATGTGTAGTGCTATTGTTTAAAGAATATTAGTCAATTAAAGTGATCCATTGAAGTTAATTTTGACTAATGGGCATTAAATTTCATGAAAATATAGTATAAAGACTGGAAGTTTGCTTTAGATTGATGAGGGGCCAATTTAAAACTACTGAAAGATAATGACTATTCATGTACTATTGTTTTATATGGTTATAGTCCCCATTTGATGATATAATTGAGATTCTCCTCATCCCCATCAATAGAGAGTGAAAATCAAGAGAAGATCACCAATTAATTAGAAGATCATAACACATTCAGGCCAACAATCAAACAATATGAATCAAGGTATGTTTATACTTCCACTATTTTATTATTTTCTCTGATTTCAACATGGAGTATGGATAATTGAATTTATATAAGATAATGGTTTTGGTTGATAATCCTTTTTACAAATCTCCAACA